TTCTGAATGTTGCTAAGGCTGCTAAGACTTGAGTGAAAGGCAAATTCCTAAATATTTGAACAAAAAAGCCCTGCTAAACCTATTATTCTGTATTAATGGAAGCAAATACTACGCCAAAATGAAACCCTTCTGCAAGCAGGGCCTATCCTCATTTCAGTTTTCCATTTTAAATCCTAACTGTTGTCTACCCTGATGATTACTTTTCAAGCTGCTGTTAAAAGACTAGGTCGGTGCATATATTAAAAGAGTGCAGGTACAGAGATCAGAAATAAAAACAGATGGTCCAAAAGTTGTAAGGAACTGTAGTTCAGTTCTGAGGCAAAACTTATGACTACCAGCATTGTTGCTGCTTACAAACTCCTGCTGCATAGTTGAGCCACCTACAAATAGCTAATATTTGTGTGGTGACATTTTGTATGTAACTGGTTCTCATCTGACAGGCTGCTATAAAACGTAAAGATGGATAACAGTAAAAGAAAAATTATTATTTTTTATATTAGATATGATACAGTGAGATGACATGCCTGTGTTTCTGTTCTGATGGAGGTGGAAACAAAGTACTTCATGACCTTGAGGTTTCTTCCAGACCATATTTTGTTCTCCTTACATGAGCAGCATTGTGTGAGCTTGATAGGCTGGCTCTTAAAATCTGCATTATATTCCCCTTTCAGAAGGATCTAAGGCACCAGAGAGTCTTCATTTATATTTTAGAAGGTTCTGTGAGTCTACATGATTTTCTGACCCCGTACTTGTTCAGGATGCTTTATCCCAGATCCCAGCCTTACAGAGCTCTCTGCAACCTCTGGGGCAGTGCAAAGGTCTCTGGATCGAGGTGGCTGCCAGGAGAGTAAGCAGTAAAGAGCAAACCAGCTCCAAAATGCTAAGGGTTGAGTCACACAGAGCACTGCACTCCGTGGCATATGGAGCTGATGCAGAGAAAAACTCTTATCATTTGTTGATCAGAATGAGCCTGCACAATGCTGCAAGCACTATTGGTAAACTTCTGTCAGTCGTGCTGTATTGAACTGAGAGGAAAGAAACCCTGCAAGATTGAATCCTAGAAGTAAAACTAAATATAATTTGGGCAGCTGAATGAGTGATGTGTGTCCCAGTGGAGGTATTATCCAGCGTGCATTCTTCTGGACCACCCCTGGCCCAAGTCACAGGGACTGTCACAAAGAAAAAGTTTGGAGTACATTCAAAGGCAAATAGTTGGTATATATCTACATGGATTACAAAAGATGAAGTAGCCCACTAGGTGTTGAAAGATGCAAGTACTTAATGCATTGGGGGGAAAAAAAATAAAAGCAAGAATATCTTGTACTTTTGGAATGCTGCTCTGGCAACGTATTTCAAGGACAGAGACTTCCCAAGTGAACTGCTGTCCACTGAATCAGCTTCAGTCTCGACCTTCTTGAGGTATATGAAAATATGAACAGTCTACCAATGTGCTGGTAATTTAAAAGATAGATGCTGATAAGAACTTTTCTCCTTCCTGCCTAAGCTTTACTCAAAGTCTTCCATTAAAATATATAATTGAGTACCTAGACAGCTGCATTTTGATTTGCATCTACTGCCAACGCAATATATCTTTCAGATAAGCCTTTCATGCATTACTTTCAATAATAATGTTTTAAATTAAAAGACTGCTTCCATCAGCATAATGAAGCAAGATAGCCAAGAAAATAGCTGTGTGTCTGAGCACAGAAATTCATTAAAGTAGGAAAAAAATCCATGGAACAGTGATGATAATGGGAAAAATATTGAGCCTCAAAGATAACACCACCGAAAGCAGAACCTGCATTTAGGGCTTACTTCATGGGACAGGTTGTTTTCTCTTTCTAGAGTTGTCAAATAAAATCAAACAAAATTTTGGCAACTCTGTCACTTTTAAGCTGCCATAAGCATATGGGATTTTACTAGCACAAAACCTGTTGCTGATAGTGATATATGGAATAATCTATTCTCCTTATGTAAGTATTAGTACTAATGATTTCTCTTCTTTCAATACTAAGAAACATACAGTTTAGTAATGACAAATATCACTGCTCAAAGAAGACAACTTAATGTAATCAAGACATTATGCTTTCTAATTGCCTTCCTAGTCTCTACTTAGGATGCAGACTGTAGATGTGTTACCTATATTTATCTTGGAAATAAGTTGTCCTTATAAAGTATTTGTGGCTGTTCTCCACATTAAAATACTTTTACCTTCCCCAGAGTATAAAGAACTTGCACAGTGAGTGCTAATGAGACACATACTCACCTCTCAATTGCCTTCTCTCTTCCTCCTCTATGTTATTTTTTTTCTTCAGCAAATCAAGGCAGTATTAAGCAAGAAAAACTCATACCTGTCTGATTGTTCTCTGCACCCCTACCTGTCTGCTGAGCTGTGCTGCTGCTTTTGACAGGCTGTGGGAAGTCAGGAATGCAGGGAGGGTTTACAGGAGAAGCTGACACTCTGCATTCATCCAACCTCAGATGAGTTTTATAAATCTGATAGCTGGCTCCACTGACTGTGCAAAGACAAAAGGTTCTGCCTGGGACAGAAGAACCCTTTGCTGCTGGAGCACAGATGGTATGAAAGCGCTTCATATGACACAAGGTGCTAGAAAATGTTTGGCTCACTAAAGTGTGCTGTCAAGACCTGTTTTCTTTAAGCTGCCGGTCTGTCATTGTCTTTTGGAAACCAGCATGTAGCCAGCAAACCCATCTCCATCAGAACCAGAAAAAGTTTCCTTATTTGCACTTCACTTCCCTTTTCTCCCACCAGGTAATTTCTCTCTGTAATGCCACCACAGGTATTATAGCAGAATTAATGAATAATCAAATTTTCTCTAAGTACAAAACAGTAAATAGTAAGGGAGGAAGTAGGTTCTAATAACAATAAGAGAAAAGGAAAGAGAAGCTTTCAGACCAAGAATTCCCATCACCTGAATCTGCTGAACTTTCCAGACACAGAGTAAAACCCCTCCTTCTCTCTGTTTTGGGTACAGATGTACTGAGAGGCACTGGCCCCCTGCCTGCCCTTGGTTCAGGTGCTGCTGACTTTGGCAGCTGAACTCAGTGTGGGCCACAGCACACATGTCATGCAGCCTATCACACAGCTTTTGGGCTGAGACTGGGTTAGAGGGAAAGAGCATCATCCCCCTTGCTGTCTTCTGAAGTCTTGACAGTTCCTCTCCCTTGCCACGTGAATCTTATTACAGATATAAAATTAATTTCTTCTGGTTTACGATGCATCCTTTAGTCCCCTTTTTGAAAGCTAAATTAGGCAGCACTGGGATGAGGTCACAGATCAGAAGAGCTTCCATTTAACTTCTACCTCCAATACTTGGTTCATTCATTGTCTAATTTGGCACCTGGAGGAAGGTAAAGGCCAAGGCAAAATCCAACTTGGAAGTATAAAATAAAACAATTTTGGGAACTTTGTCTTTCTGTTATGCCTTCTTCATGGCAGCAGGAAAGACTTGTAAATGCTGAAACTGGCCAATATTTCAATCTATTTCTCACTAAAATCTCTGTGTTTCATTAAAATTACCATGAACCAATTAAACGTCTTCAGTTTAGTCGATTTTACAGTTACTCAGACAGAATTTTTAATTATTCTGTATTGCAGGCACAGGAACCTTTTCTTTGTCTCTCTCACTGTAAGACCTTTCAAGTGCAACTTGCCATATCTTTCATGCACCTGCAGTGGGGATGCAATCCTGAGGTGGAGGGCTCTGAACTTGTGCAGATGTAGGTGAGCATAAGGAGTGCTGAAGATGGGAAGACATCAGCACTGAGGATCTTTTTCTTCCTCTAGCAAAAAAAGTAATGAGATTAAATGCCTTAGGAACACTCTCTGAATGTCAAATGGTGGCACAGGGCTCTACTCTTGTTTGACATGTATAGTTTTCAGGTCCACTTACGAGCAATCATACCTCATGTGCCTTTGCTCGGGCAACTAATTGACTGCTGAAGTTCTAATTTGTTTCTTGTTACATTATTATCCAGATGTCTCAATATTAAATGACAATTTTGTCTCCTGATACTGTTGCAGGAAGTTTTAGCCTTCTTTTTTAAAATATTTTTGTATTCAAACCAATTGTAAGTTCTTTCTGAAATGTTACATTAAGCTGTTGTAGTTGAATGGCTGTGGGAAACAAGGACTTCGGGATTTCATCTTTGTTGATAAAAATCTAAAATTAGGTGCTATGAAAATGTCATCTCTTTTTGCAAGACCGCATGTGGCAAACTCAGAAATAAAATCAATCACAGAGTGGCATGAAATGGCTACAGGCTAACACAGAAATTGAAAAAGTCTCACAAAATATCTGTGATGAGCTAACATCAAAAGAATTTAGGTTCAGCTTGGCACCAAGAAATTTGGTTAAGCAAGGTAATGAACACTGCTGTGCTTTTGATCTTCAAAATGTCTTACAAAGGTTAAGTCTTTAAAATATATCCGTGAAATGAAGCGTTATATTGGCACCATTGTTCTTTTCCCCCTCAGCTAAAGTAGATGTTGAGTGTTTAAAAGTCCATGGCTGTGGAGAAGGTCAGATCTAGTACTGCAGACTAAGGTTCCTCTGCAGTGCCTGAATTTCTCAGACTGGGCTGGACATTCTTCATTTATTCAGTCATCCCTCCCTTGGTCACTGCTCTCCTTTTCTCAAACTGTTTGTCCTCTCTGACATCTTTTTCCTGGCTAGTCTGCAGCTTTCCACTGCACTGCATGCACTCAGATTGCCCAGGTAAGCCTGCAATCACTCTGTAGGTTGACCCTCACCTGGCTGCCTTGCCCTGCTCTACTATTTTAGAGTTCTTGCAGTGCAGACTTTTCTCTCCTTCTGCACCACTCTAAGGAAAGGGCAGTCTCACAGAGCTCAGCAAACCCCTCTATTCAATGTGCTTTGCAGAATCCCTGTGGAAGACCCAACTAAATGAATTTGTTCTTTAAAGCAGGTACATCACGTGTGTGGAGTCTCCATGCATGAGGGTGGAAAGCAACTCACCATCTCCTGCGTTTAGAGTCACCTTGGAAAAGCTGCCTCTGGGAACTGGACTGGAAGTAGGAATTAAATCACCCTTAGCAACGCTGGATGCTGCCAAAAACCTGCGAGAAAGCAAAAAAATCATAATATAGACTCTGTAAATGACAACAAACGAGTTCTACTTCAGAGGAAGGAAAAAAAAATTTATGAAGCCCTAAACTAATTTTCAGGATCTCTTCAAATAACTGGGAATCGTTCTTTAAAGGCTTAGAGGCCAGTGTCAGGAAACCCCCAGGGAGTTCACATAAGAGCACTGCTGGCCATGTCTGAAATTCCTTGTAATGAGCTAATTAATGACCAGCAAGCACCTTGCGGGATTTGACACTCCAGAAATTGACTCCACTTGAGGAAGGCAAGAAATCGAAAAACCTGCCCTGCACTTTTCTGAAGATAAATGATCAGTTGGAGGAGAAGCTGGAGGAAGCCTGTGGTGTTTAGCCAAGCCAGCAGTTTCAGGGTATCTCATGCTCTTAGCACCCAAGTGCATCTGTCAGGTGCTAATTGCCAACTCCCACTGACTGCAGCAGGCGCCCAGGGCACTTGGCATTTTGCAGTATTAAGCTGCTGTTATTAAGCTAAAGACATAAACATGCCAGTATGTGCTGTTTGAACTGCAAGGCATTGTTTCTTGGATTCTCAAAATATTAAGGTTTTTTTTTTCTTTTTTTTTTTCCCTCCAGTTAGCAGCGTCTCACAGTAAGCAACTGCCTAAAGAAGAAATTTAATGCAAAAGGATAAGCACTGTGAAGTCTGCGCTGTGAAAAGCAGAAATACATCATTCTACCAAGAGTAGGCTGATTTAATTTTAAATATAAAATCTTTAAATGGCTAATGTGCTTAAAACGTAGAAAATCAGATAACAAAAGCAGTTCTTGTTTCAAAGCAGAAGAGCAGTCAGTGAGAAAAATTAATAAAAAGAAAACAAAGTGACAATTAAGGAACTAGAACTGATTTCCTGGGGAAAAAAAAAAAAGGATAAAAACTAATAATTTTTCACACATTGCCAAATAACATGGTAATTTATCCAGAATATAATTATACTAACATTTGGCTGTGACTTGCTATTAGATGAGCTCTTACAGCTTGAAGTGCTCTGGGCAGGTTTTGAGGATGGTTGCAGGCCCCTTTGTTTTAGCACTTGGCATCATGGCCTCAGTCCTTGGAGGTGGGCAAGAAACAGCTGGGCATGGCCCTTAATGCTGAGGTTTAGTTGACAAGGTGGTGTTTGCTCAAAGGCTGGACTCAATGATCTTGGAGGTCTTTTCCAACCTTTATGATTCTGCTGGCTAGGCTAGGATAGCAAGTGTTTTGGTTTCTTGAGGCCATCAGTGCAACTTTGGGAAGTTCTATTGCTAAAGGAGGGGCAAGAACCTCCCTGCCAGGCAGGCACCCAGCAAATCATGAGTTGTAACGTCAGTGCTGTATGTGCTGGAAAAAACTGAAAAAGGAAAAGCTCTCAGTACTCTTGTACCCATGCTACTGGTGAACGTTAAGATTTATATTTTTAAAAAATTAGTCTTCTGCTCAGTACAGAGCATTAACCTTCAAAATGTAACTTACTGACGGTGATAATAGAGTTTAAAAAGTAAAATGAGTGTCTGCACTCCCTCTTTCCCTGCTCTCCTTTGTAATTCAGATTTCTCTCTCTCTAGGCAAGGTCAGGAAGGACAGAAGGTAGAGGGGCCAGCATGACCTGCTATGGGAATATGTAACACTCAAGACATGATGATGTACTTTGCAGTGTCTTATTAAGGATCCAACAGATGACTATCAATAACTGATCAAGGGAGAGGTCCTTTTCTTTGGTTTTCCTTGGAAATTGTTAGTGCAACCATTGTCTTCATTCTTTTCTCTGAACACAATCCATTAGATATGGCAAAACTGTGTTCTGTGTGAGAGTGCAGGAGTGCACGAGAGCTGGGATAATTTTAAGGTGATGTTAAAATACTCAAAAATATTTCCATCTTCAAGGGTGAAAGGAGGGGAAGCTGGCTTGAGACCTTGGATGCTATGTTTCATTCCCAGATAAGAAATTATAGGTATCAAACTGTCTAGGTAGCACCTAGCCACCTGAGAGATTTTGCTTGGCCTCTCTGGACAAACAAAAAGTCTGTTTCTTTGCAAACTTGAGGTTCTTTTCATACATGCCTTACTCCTACAGTCTATCCTTTGCCCATCCTCCTTGCCCTCCAGCTTCTGCGTCTTTACATTTTCATCTTCCTCACAAGCATGTTTGCCAGCTCCTGGCTCTTCGCACTCAGGTCATTCCCAGTTGCATTCCCTTTTTCTCTCCTGGTCCTCTAAGGCAAAAATGAACATTTCTGAAATGTGTGTGCTTATTCAGTCAAGAATTTCCTCATTGGCACTGCCATCCAATGACTTAATTCTTGTCTGAATGGAGAGAGAGCGTCCTCTGAAGGGGATCTGGAGGCCACCTGGGTTCTTAGATCGCTATTTGCTCCTTGTTATCTAGCTTGGAGTGCTGCCAGGCATTCCTGTGCAGACAGATTTGCAAGCTGCCTACAAGCTCTTGAGAAGACCTTGTCTGCATGGGAAGGGAGGATGGATGTGGGAGTCTTTGTGTGGATGTAGATGTTGTACTAATTATCATTTCATTATCATTACCTTCTCATTTTCTGTTTAATTAAAATGTATGTACGCTGGACCGAGGGGTTCAGCACAGGAACTGAACAGACACCTCCAAGGTGAATCCTACATAGCTGGCAAGTTAGGTTCATATGGAATTATGCTTTCTTTAAACTTTCTAAGAACATCCAAAAAAAGGTGGTAATGCTCAATGAGTGACTGAGTCTGGTCTTAGAACAGCGATTCCTATAAACTGAGGACAGAGAGGAAGACATTACAAAACCACGGAAATAAGGACTTTTTGAACTATTGATAAACTAGTTACAATCAGAGTAATTTTTGTTAAGGCAGAACATCCCCAGGTAAAGGGAAAGATTAGAAAACAGCCCCAAATCCAATGAACTCACTATTTTATTTAATAAACATAAGCCAAGCTTCTGACAGATTAGCAGTGGTTTTTTGTACATATGAGAACTTCAAATTTCTAAATATAAACAATATTCTTTTTAAGCAATATAAAATCATTTCCCATCTGCTCAAAATCCCAGTTATCTCAGTTTATGCATGGCAGCAACTTCCTTTAGGAAGGTAGTCCAGCAGAAGTAATTCTGGACCTGCCTCCTTCTCTGTAGCATATTTATTGCTTCCATCGCTTCTCAAGCCTCAGGGTACTCCTGCTTCAAGTCTGAATATTGATTATGTCAGGTTGATGTCTGCCAGTAACCAAAAAGCAGAACTACCAGTCACAGCCCTCCTTTCCTAGCAAAGACACTGTTATTATGAGAGCTTTGGTCTTGTGAGACACGGTGGGAAAAGTCTTATGAAATGTGTGGAATACAAAGGCAAGCTTTTTTTGTGGTTAAAAGTAGCATCTGCAATAATTCCAAGACTAAAACTGGCTATCTTACTGTGTGGAGGATGGCAAATAAGATTTTTTAAAACGGTATCTTGCACTAGGATAACTATGGGAGATGAGCAGCTTTACATGAATCTAACAGCTGTTTAAAAAGCTCAGCTGGCAGCATCATTTGCTATCAGGCAGAAGACCTATGTTCAGAATCACACACAAATGTTTGTCTCCTCAAAAGCCAGCAGGAAGTGTAGGTGGCATAAAGAAAATGACAGCCTTACTGCAAAGGCAAACAGAAATCTCTCTGTGATCTTGAGCTGAGCTTGTGCTTCCTGTATAAATGCTGCAAGGAGTTAGAAGCAGATAATACTCCCTCGAGTGTCTTGATGTCCATAGCTGGATGAGAACTCTGTTTTTCTTTAAATTTACAGTGGCTGCATTGGATATTCTGGAAAATGATGGATTAGTTAAGTCCTATAAATCCCAAACACATATGTAGCATAGCTTTTCAGAAATAACTTACAAAACAGCCTTCCAGAGAAGGAGAAGTCCAAAATAATGATAGCACACTGACAGTGCAATAAAGAGGAATTCATTATTCTGACTGCAGGGGTTGACAGTGACCAGAGGGCAAATGCATAAAATAAGAAGGAAGAGCCTATGCTCAAATGTCAAAAACTCCCTGCCACAAATGAAAAAAAAAAAAAAAAAAGGAAATGTGCTCAAGATGTGCTTACTCTGTGTAGGAATGATGATGATAACATTCATCTGAGCACAGCAAATATTTCTGAGCTTGAAGCTGAGGATGAAGTGTTATATAATATAATTTGTTGCCATGAAAAGAAATCTTTGCCATCTAATGGTGAACAGAGTGGCAGCAAAAATGAAGGGTTAAATTTGTAGGATGGCTGGTTTTGTGAACAATTTTTGTAGACAATTTTAAAGCTACTGTTCAATTCTAGAAACAAATCTGATTGTCATAATTGTTTCTTTTATTGCCTAAAGAGGATAATACCTATTCACAAGTGCAACTACTTAAATATGAAATTTTGCAGGTATAGATTGCACCTTCAGATAAGATCTTGATCCCACAAAGGAACAGGCAATAAGCTGTTTTTTTCTGGAGTTATTTAGTTCTAAATAAACTTCGTATTCAGCCTATCTGTTTTTTGTTTTTAGTTTTTCCTTCTTTGTTATTGAATGCTTTTGTAAGAAGGAAGGATTCTTGCTCCGTATTTTTCTTCCTCTGACATTCCCCGTATGAAGTTAACAATCCTCTCATAGTTTGTATGGAGAGGATTAGAACATGTCATCACCAATTGCAGATGAGGATTTAAAGCAGGGATGGACAGGAGGAGCAGAAGGATGAGACTGCCTGACCTGTCTTGATTCAGACTGTGTGGATGCTTTGTGCCAACCTCTGCTGCTCCAGGAAGTTAAGTCTGCCTTCCACACCTGTCCTCATCTTATGGCAAGGGAAAATTGCTTGTTGTTGAAGGGGATGAAAGACTGATTTCTCTATTGCACATTGCTCCTAAAGATCCATTTCTACACAAACGTAGTTGGCTCATAAAAGCCCAAGGGAAGGTGCAGTTGCCAAGAGGAATCACTTCTAAACTCCATAAA